CCGTATGCGGGCCTCTCACTGTTGTGGCCTCTCCCATTGCGGAGCACAGGCTCCGGATGCGCAGGCTCAGCAGCCATGGCTCACGGGCCCAGCCGCTCCGCGGCAGGTGGGATCTTCCCGGACCGGGGCACGAACCCGTGTCCCCTGCATCGTCAGGCGGACTCTCAACCACTGCGCCGCCAGGGAAGCCCTAAGGGTTTCCATATTTTAAATGACCTACAGGTATCTACTGTGGCATGTTAGAACAGAAATTTTATTTTAAATTGGTAGCAGTATGTAAAGAACCCCAACTTCATCTACTGCTCTTACCAGGTACTCCAGCTTGGATCCAGAAGTTAATGTCTGTCCCTTCTCCAGCTCTAAAGACCCGTGTGACATTGATGGGCTGCAGCAGGCACATGACCTCCTCCACGATGGCCCTGGCCTTGTCACTGCCAGTGAACTGCAGCCCAGAGGGTAAGAAGGTCCCCAGGTCAGACTCCATCACGAGGCTGTAGTTGGAAGTATTTGCCTTAACAAAAGAGAGAAGTGTTTGGTTCATATTTGTTGCTTCCCTGCTTTCTCTTTGGAAGTTATCAAAAAAACAATAATCAAATACTTTATCTCCTCACCAGTTGTTGCCAAAGCACATGTTGCTCTGCTCGACTTAGGATCCAGTCTGCATATTACCTAACAGTTCTGAGATGCAAAATGACTCACCTTGGAATCTGCCAAATTTGAGTTGACTTGGAAGGTTTCTTTAAAATTCAATGAAAATAAATATAAAACTCCATATTAAAATTACTCAATTATTGCTACTGGCAATAATATTCTTTCAACCAATTTTCTTAAGAGCCTACCTTGCACCAGATACAATTCCTTTTATATGGTGGGGACCTCCGGATAGTATTAGCCATGCTTAGACAAAAAAAGGTGTAACCTGTGGGTCTATTTCTCTGCACCTCTTCCCCCTAGATGGATATTCTATCTTATTTTAATTGTGAATTCTGTGAAGGCTTAAAGGCATCAAACTGACAGGTTTGTCTTGGGTTTCTGATTCCATTGTTGTTCCATCTGTTGAATCCCCAGAGAGGGAGGTAATAGAAAAACACATGAAATGCTGTTCTCTCTGGGGTACAGCTATAGCATCTAAACCCCGGCAACTCTGCCAGGCCACTAGTGTGCAAACTTTTTCCAGATAAAGCCTGGTAAGAAAGCACACAGTGATTCCACGTAGCCAATATTGTCACAGCAAGAGCTTAGAATATAAGAGCCTCTCACCAGATTGCACAGCTAAATTGCCACACTGCCCTAAGACTTTCAAGTTTAAGGTCCTTCAAACTGGCCTGGCCAGCTATTTCCCAGGACCCATTCACTTCTTCCAGACTGACCATATACTACCTCGGTTGAGTTATTCCCAAGCTGTCATCCTCATTATTCACCTAGTAAAAATCAATAATAATATTTTTACAGTGCTTTCAGAGAGCTTTCATCTTTACAATCTCCTTTGATCTTCTTCCATAATCCATAAAGTAGACGGAGCAGTTTTATGGTTGATGCTGTTTTATAGAAAAGGAACTGAGGATCAGAGAAGTCAAGTGATTTGCTCAACGTCACACAGTTGGCAAGTGAGAAAGCTGGGTCTGAAATTCTGTGCTTTCCAAAACTCCACCCTGTCACCACTAGCACGGGAGGGAGTAAGTAGTAGGCCATGCTTGTTCTGAATTAGAATGATTTTTCACTTACAACATAACAATTTCAGGGTTGCATTTTTTTTCTGTAAAACAGATATGTTTCTACAATGACTTCCTAACTATTGCCATGCAAGGGTACTGTTGTTACAAGGGCAAGAACAGTACCCTTCGTTTCTAAAGGAGGATGTTGCCAACATTTAAGGGACTGAACTTCATGGCCCTGGGATATCATTTTGTTGTTGTTGATGATGATGAGAAGGTTAACAAAGCAGAAGTCTGTTCATGTTTTTCCACTTTCACTTCTAAGGAACTTCTGTCTTCCTGGTGATTATCAGAGAAAGACCCAAGGCATTTATGATAAAAAGTACCACCTCTGCTTTCAGCTGTGGCTACTGCATGACGGTAGCATCATTAGAGTTAATAACATGCAAAATATCTGCATTAATGTCTTACATTCAGGGCTCGTTCAACTAGCACATTGGTGCTAGGTGAGCAAGCTGACATGAATTTGGCAGTCCTAACCCTGTCCCCTTATGTGCCCTGCTGCCCCCCGCCCCAAATTCTCTCCCTGCCCTGTAAAAATGACAAAAGAAATAACATAATATATCTGCAAATAAAAACAGTTGGGTAATGTATGTGAGGATTCCCATATTTCTGGCAGATCCCATCCTTCCAACAAGAAAATTAGGCAATTTGCTCCTAACTATATTCAATTTAGTTAAAAGTAGAGCTAGTCAGTAGTTTGGCCATCAGCCTGGTGAGATGGACACAGCCCTGGACCCACTCGACTCCATTCCTGACTCAGCAACTGACATGCTAGGCTGCTGAGGGGAGTGACTGGCCTCTCCCTCTGTCCCCAGGTCATGTCGCCTTGGCCTCGGGCTTCTCCATTTGTAGGCGGGGACAAATGCTCTTTCCAGGCTTGAACAATGAGCCTGGGCATATGGAGCTTTGAGGGTCTTCAAAGAAAAAACATTTGTAGACCAAAAGTGAAAGTGGTGTGCGAGTTGAACTTGTCAGGGCTCCTGACAAAATATGCATTAAAGCCTTCTTGACCCTCGTCAGCTGCAAATGAACAGATGTCCCAGGGACAGGGCACCCCCCAGTTTGGGAATGGTACCGTGCAATGCCAGGATGTTAACGGGAATGTTGAGAATAATGTAAATAAAAAGGAGATTTCAAAGGTGCCAGGCGCTGTCTATGTGGCAGCCTTTCGAGCAGAGTGATAACAAGTATGTGCTCTGGGATTATTCAGACTGGGTTTGACCATCAGATTAACCAATCATGGGCTCTGTGACTCTGGGCAGTCTGTGTAACCCCTCAGTTTCTTCTGCCATGAAATGGGGATAATACTGGTACCCAGTTCATGGAGTTGTAAGAAAGAGTGCAATGTAGGCCCCAACGTATAACGAGCACTTGATCAACAGTTGCTGTTACTGGTCTTACCACTAAACATCAGTACCTCTCAGATTTTCAAGGATGGCCTCCATATAAACCATTCTGTTGGCTGCTTACAATGATAATATGTAGCTTTTTTTTCAGTGCTTCCTACATGCCAGACACTGTATGAAAGGCTTTACAGCTTATCCCATATAATGCTCCCAATCATTCTATAAGTGCCACATTTCTCATTTCACAGATGAAGCAACTGAGGTTTAGTCAGGTTAACTAACTTTCCCAAGGTGACCTAGCTAGTGAGTGGAGCTGCCAGAATTCAAAGCCGGAGGTCTGCCTCCCCAAGCCTGTGTTCTCAATCCCTCCACTGCCCTGTCTGCTGCTGCTTGTTTCCAGCTGTCGGGCCACAAGTCCTCACTTCTAATTCAAAAATACAAAGACTGTAGTGAAACAGATGTATAGAGTTTAAAATATTTTTGCATGATCACAATACAAGGTCTGATTGGACAGAATTTATTGTCCCTGCTAACGAAGTAATTTGATTAAGCAAAGAGAAGAATGAAACAAAAACAAAAACAAGGACAAAACCCTTGGTCCACCATTTCCTTCCAACTAGGAATAAAAAGTAAAACAATAAAACATCTTTTCAACCCAAATTAGACAGGATATGCAGATCTCAGTAAACCAGAATTCTGGCGTAGGCAGACACAAGTTTGATCTCTATTCATGTAGAATTTTATTAGCTGCTGCTAACATGATGGCAGCAGTCTATTGTTGTCTATTTATATATAAACATCCCCATATGTTTTCAATAAAGAACTAAGAAAACAAACCACCCACCGTCCAGGGCACCGTTTTTTATCCTCATTTATGGAGTCATTGTCTAATCGTTAGCACATGGCCAAAGAGCTTGGAAAACAAAATGTCTCTGCACAAAGAAACAGGAATGAATAAGTCGGGTCACCGGGCTGTTAGAACTGCTGCTTCTCAGGAATGTGTGGTCACAAACATGTTCCTCACTGTGCCATCAGTCATTGGGGACAGACTCAGTGTAGATTTGAAAAGCTGATTATAGCTAGTGAAGGCAGAGCAGAGCCATGCTGGTTTCATTCAACCCACGTCAGCACACAAAACAAAATATCCATCCTCCTGGTTATAGGATGTAGGGAGAAACCTACTTCTAGAGATTGAATGCTTTATTAACCCTTCGCTCTGCTCTCTTCATAAAGAGAAACATCTCTTTATTAGGAGCCATGTAAACTGTCCTTCATTGCCATGTAACGGACATAATGTGATGCAGAGAAATGCTCCTGGCTATCCTCTAGGTTGGGATTGCTGGATTAGTTAATATCTGCTCAGGGTTGAGGATTCATAACTTTGTCCTGTGCTAGAATCACATCCTATCACCTCCTTTCCTTTTTTCTTTTTTTTAAGTGTCAGCTTATGCTGCCAAAGAACAATTTGGTAACAATTAGCAATCTTTGGGAGCAACGCAAGATTAGAAAGTAGAACAATGTTTAAAATACGTATTGCATGTTTTCAAATGCTTACTTCCTCATATAAACACAGGGATGATGTCTGTGTTCTTTGCTTTTCTAAAATTCCAGATAATTCTTCTTTGGAAATATAGACCCAAGTTCAACATTTCCTTTCCTCCCAAATGCAGCTTCTTGTTTCAAAGCTTTTATTTTCTCATAACCTAGGTAACCTGTCTTTGGTTTTGAACTAAAATTGCAATCCCCAAAATCAACTGACGAGGAAAAGAGACTCCTAATTATTTGAATTAATCATGTAGCCTCCTCAGTTCAATCTTCAAAGAAGTAAACGGTTCCCGCCCACTCCGCCCCCCACACAGGGCAATCAGTCCCGGTACCATTTTCCCCGCTCCGGTAAATGTTAATATTTTACAGACGATGGTGGTGATGCTATTTGGTCAGGTGGTAGGCTCACAAACGAGTTCTCAGAAGGAAACCATCCTATGAGACCATGTGCTGAGTTGCTATAATCATCTTCTCCAGTGCTGCCAGTGACCCTGGAATTCCCATTTCAAAGGGTGTAACTGGAGCGGGGCTGCTTCATGGAGCTTTAGCTCAAATCCCTATCATGATGGGATATAGGTAAAGAGGTTTCTCCCTGATGTGCAAAACCAAGAATAGGTTTTACTCTCTGGTCAGGTCTACCCCGAGGTTCAGACTTTTATTTCTGGCAGTCTCCAGCATTCAGTTTTTTTTTTTTTTTTTTTTTTTTTTGGTACGCGGGCCTCTCACTGTTGTGGCCTCTCCCGTTGCAGAGCACAGGCTCCGGACGCGCAGGCTCAGCGGCCATGGCTCGCGGGCCCAGCCGCTCCGCGGCATGTGGGATCCTCCCGGACCGGGACACGAACCCGCGTCCCCTGCATCGGCAGGCAGACTCTCAGCCACTGCGCCACCAGGGAAGCCCCAGCATTC